CCATGACCTGCGGATTTGTTTCCTAAGTCCTTTCAGTCAGGCACAGTGGCACAGGCCTATAATCCCAGCGGTTCAGGAGGCTGAGGCAGGAGGACCCCAAGCTCAAGCCAGCCTCAGCAACTTAGCGAGATCCTGACTCAAAATAAAAAATAAAAGGGCTGGGGATTGGCCCAGTGGTTGAACACCCCTGGGTTCAATCCCTAGTACCAAAAAAAAAAAAAAAAGTAATTTTTAATGCAGAATGATTAGAGTTCCAAAATCTTTTTTAAAAAACCTTCTCTTTCAGAAGGCATATCAACTTCCAAATTAATCATTTTTTAAAGCAATGATTCTTCAATAGGTTGATAAAAAATTATTATACCCAGATACATTTCCTTCCTGTTTGACATTTGATTTAACCAGTAAGCAGAGCGAGTGTTGAGGAGGAGATCAGTGGGGCATCAGTTAGAGCTTAGAAACTGGTTCCCTAGTTGGGGGAAAGCCCAGATTGCAGCACTGGCCAATTTCCATAGGGTAAACACTCCCAGCAAGACCACCTTCCAGCTGCCACCCAGCATCGCTGAACACAAACTGGAGAAAAGAAGCACCCAGTCAGACCTCGGGAGCTGGAGTCAGGCAGTTCAGCAGGACACTGGAAGAAGCCACCAAATCGTCCCATGTCTCACAATGACCCTCTGCCTGCTCCCTTGCTCCACGCCCTGCAGACCTCGCCCAACGCCTCTGCAGGGCTTTGTCCAGCTCTTGTCCTCCCACGCCACATCCGCAGGAACCCACAAGCCTATCACTTTAATTGTTTTCCTCTGCTGACAAGAGAGGTAGTGATTTTTCTCACCTTCCTCCCAATGCGACATGGTTTCTTGGAATGTCCCTCTGTGTTAAGCACAAAATGTCCCAAAAATGAATCGTACAGATTAAGGCTTAGGGCCTCTAATCAGCTGCTTGGTCAAGCAACTAATACAGCAGCAGGTGAAGACAATCAATTAAGCTTTACTTAATGGACATCATGCTGGAAATTGGTCGGTTAATTATGAACTAGCCCACTAACTTCTAGATTTACTATTCCCATGTTTATGCTTCTTGACATTAAAAATATCCTATAAAAATGTTCATTGTGCTCTGCAAATATAAAAGCAAGCACAAAGACTTGCCTACTTTAAGTCTACATCGACAGGATCATACACACACCAGTATCAAGCTCCACTCCTGCCATAGTGAGTGTGGCTTTGGACAAATTGCATCACTTTGCTGGGTCTTTTTCCAAAGTGAGAACCATAGTATGTATCTATGAAGGTTCTCATAAGGATTAAATGCTGATAATGCTGATTAATGATCAAAACACAGTACCTACTCGTCCTTACAGTTTTCCACACAGCACCTGTGCTGGGCCCAGCCCTCCTTCTACGAGGGTTTCCACAGCTGGATGGGAAGACTGCTGACCGGACACCAGGGAGCCAGAGGTTTGGGACGCTCCTCGAGTGCTCTGCCGCCCCATGCTCTGGGCCCAGGACCAGCAGAGCCCCGAGTCCCCGGTCCCCTAGGCTCTCACTGCCTGTGGCTGCTTGCTGAACCAAGGCAAGGCAAGACTCCCTGCCTCAGGCTCTCTGTCCTTTCTCTCCGTCCAGTGGGACCTACGTTAAGGCTCCAACCCACTATCGTGTTCCCCGATGAGCTCCCTGACCCACACCACCTCCCGACCAGTGCTGTGGGCTGCACCAGCCGTCTACCACCTCCTCTCCTTCCCCTCACCCGCTGCTCCTCCAGCCCTGCAGCCTCCTAGTCCGACTTCAGAGCTGACCGCAGCAGCTCCCACCATCCCGCCTTCTCCCATCCCGCTTCCTACACGCCCACCAGCCTGCCTGCCGCATGCCCACCTTCCTCATCCCCTAACATCGCTTGCTGATTTTGCTTCTTTTGTGGTTGCTCCCCAATTACAGAGGAGCCTCCCCAGTGACTGACGTCTGCCTAGCACCAGGAAATAGTTCCTTAATAAATATCTGCTGACTCAATCAGTGAAGAGAAAACTGGATTTTTGGAACTGGCCCCAATTAGGACCTGAAGGCACCAGTGGACCTCATGAGCAGTGGGCATGTGTTATGCTTTAAATATTAGGGTCCCCCAGAAGTTCACATGAGATAAAAAGAGTTTAGAGGTGAAGTGATTGGACTATGAGCATCTTGACCTAATCAGTGCATTAATCCTTAGATGGATTAACTGAGAGGGATGGAGGCAGGGGGGGTACAGCTGGAGGGGTAGGTCACTGCAGGTGTGCCTTCGGGATAGATATTTTGGCCCTGGTGAGCAGAGCCATCTCGGATTCCTGATTGTTGTGATCTCAGCTGCTCCCCACACCCTTCCACCTGATGACCTGCCTCACCTTGGACCTGGAGCAATGGAGCCAGCCGTCCAAGGTCAGACCTCTGAGCACCAAATCAAGTTTTCCTCCTCTAATTGTTCCTATCAGGTCTGTTGGTTATAGTGATTTAAAAAGAAAAGAAAAGAAAGCTGACCAAAAAGCTGCTGCTGCCCAGTTCTGATTAGCCTCATCCATGGAAGCTTACGGTCACACAAGATCACCCCATGAACACTTAGGGCAAAATAAAAAATGGAGCCTGGTTCTCAGCTGGCACCAGCGGAAAAGGGTGCTGCAGCTCTAAAGCTCCACTCGGGGTACGTGAAGGGAGCAATTTCTAGTCCATTTTGCATGAACAGAGACACGGAGAGGGTGGTGTGGTGTGGTGTGGCCCTTGCTGAACGGCAGGGAGCAAGGGGAGAACATCAGAACCTGGACAGGACACGGGGGTGGGCAGCAGAAGGGGCGAGTGAAAGGCCTGTGTTACCCTCAAAGGAGCTCAGGTGTGAGGTTATTTCCCCCTGGTCGATGCGCACAGAAGACCCCAGAGGTAGGGAAGCTTGATATTCTGATCATAGGTCTCTCTTCTCAGCCCCCAGGATGTGCATGTTAAGTGTTCAATTTCAAAATGAAGATCACATGACTATATAACCAACATACCCAAGAGGCTCAATTAAAAATATTTTCATCTATAGCCAAATGTAAACTGAGATGGCTAGTTTAAAAACTCAAATCAGAAAAGCATCAGATTTTACATAGATCAGCATTTGGGATTCTGACAGAATTGCATTGAATTCATTAGTCTATTAGGGGAATATTTCCGTCTTAACATCGTTAAGTCTTCCCATAAATGAACAAGGGATGTTTTCCCAATTAATTTAGATCTCTTCTAATTTCTTTCAATAATACTTTATAGTCCATTTTGCATTTCTTTGGTTAAATTTATTCCTAACCAGTGCATTCTTTTTGATGTGGTATAGATGGAATAGTTTTCTTAATTCCATGTTTGGATTGTTCATTGCAAGTGCATAGAAATACAATTGATTTTTATACATTTTCTTGTACCCTGCCATCTTTCTGAAACCATTTATTAGTTCTAATAGTATTTTAGTGAATGCCTTCAGATTTTCTCTCTACATAATCATACTATCAGCATCAGACACCTCCAGGACGGTTGGAATACATTGACAAGAGCAGAGACACTTGTTCTGCTCCTGATCTTGGTGGGAAAGCATCCAGCCTCTCACCACTCAGTACCTTAGCTAGCGAGTTGTCATATTGCCCTTTATCAGGTTGAGGACCTTCCCCCTCATTCCAAGTGCACTACAAGTTTTCATCAGGAAGGGCATGGTGCAGGGAAACCACTCCATTAGTGGCCGCCAGGAAGCAAGGAGGGCTGGGGGCCTACAGGGAAGGAGACCCCTTCCAGGACACACCCCCAGTGACCAGCCATGTCCCACCTGCCTACAGTTACCACTCAGTCAGTCCATTTGAACTAGGATGGGCTGATTAGGCCACAGCTCTCTTAACCCAATCATTTCACCTCTGAATGTTCCTTCATTAACACAGGAGCTTTGGGGGAACACCTCATATCCAAACTCTAGCCATGACACCTTAAGTTAATTGACTTTCAGATGTTAAACCAGCCTTGTGTTTATGGTATAAAACAAGGTAGTTCTACAATTCATGTAGAATTTTGAGGGACCCAGAATAGCCAAAACACTCTTGGTGGGGGTGCGGGGTAGGTAGAAGGACTCCTACTTCTCAACTTAGCAAGGGTAATGAGGACAGTGTGGGACAGGCACAGGACAGACAAAGATCAACTGAACAGAATTCAGAGTCCAGCTGTATACCCAAGTAGCTGTGGTCAACAGATTTTTGACAAGGGTGCTGAGATAATGCAATGTCAAAAGAGTATCTTTTCAATAAATTTTGCTGTGTGTCCCTAAGCAGAAGATGAAGTGGACCATTACCTCACAGTGAATTAAAAATGAACATCAGGAGGGAGGTGAGGAACCAGGAAGGGCTGGGGGCTGAAATGGAGCGAATCACATTCCACACACATCCAGCTATGTCAAAGTGAACCCCACTAATATACTTCACTACAATGCACCAATGTAACAGTTTTTTAAAAAATCACTCAAAATGGATCAAAGGCCTAAATGTAAAAGCAAAATCATAAAACTCTTAGAAGAAAACAGGACCTTGATTTTGGCAAAGGATTCGATTCTTAGATATCACATCAAAAGCATGAGCAATGAATTTAAAAAGACGATAATTGGAATTTACCAAAATGAAAAACTTTGTGCTTCAAAGGACACTATCAAGTGAAACAACAGTCCCCTGAAATAGGAGGGGGCTGAGGCAGGAAGACAGCTTGAGCCCAGAAGTTCAAGGTCAGCCCAAACAACAAAGCAAGGTCCAGTCTCCAAAAGCAAAACAACAAACAAAATCTGTATGTAAATAGGACTTTCCCTTTAATGTCACCAGAGGAATAAGAGCAACGAGGAAGAGAGCATTCTGGAGAGAAAGGCAGGCAGCTGCCCACAGCAGGGTGGTCACAAGAACATTTCCATTGTCCAACCCAGCAATGAAGGTGACAGGTGCCAAGGCATCCCCTGTGGGTGCAGCCAACAACCCCGCTCATTACCTGCTTTGGAAGTGACCAGCTGAAGCACCAGAGGTCGTCTCGTTACAATGCCCGACCCTCGAGGAAGAAAGTCCCTAAAGAAGTAAGAAAAAAATAGATTAAGGCATTCAGGAATTCTGATCACCTGTACACTTATAAGTTCCACATTAATTCTTCCAATTCCCAACCTTTCAATGTGTCAGTCACCTAAAGAAGGGAGGGAGGAGGGGAGGGAAGGGGGAAATAGTGGGGAGTGATATTGGCCAAATTATATTGTTATATTGTGTGCGTGCGTGTATGAGTATTTTAACAGGAAATCCCACCATATGTACAACCCTAAGATACTGATTAAAATATGGAAAAAAAAGAAGCATTTTAAAAATTAAAGAGGGGAAAGGTCTTATATTGAATATTAATCTATTACCATAATGACCTCACTGGAAAGTGTCATTCATACATTGAGCCTGAAATTAATCAAAGCTTGCATTAAATTTTAGTGTGTTAGCAATTCACTTTCATTTTCAGAGAATTAGCATTAATAAGAACATTTGAAGCTAAAATTATTCCTTAAACTCTTTTTGATGACTAAAAAGAAATCAGGACTCTCTCTGGCTTGAAAATCAATGTTAGCATCATTGAATTCTGACCATGACTAAGAAGGTAGAATAGACTGTCTTCTAAATATCCTTAAATTTTTCTGCAATAAAAGGACATACAAAATGTGGAATCAAACGAAGGCAAATATTGTTTCTACAAAAGTTAACGTCAGAAAAAATATTGCAACTTGAGTTTTGTTTCTTCTCATTCATTCCTGATAAATAGGAGTTCATGACAAATGAATATCATGTTGAAAATGGCATGTTAAAATACCCTAAACCTATATAATAGCAGCAAAGAAAGCATCATGCAAAATCATATCAACAGTGCCACAGAAATAATTACTGATTCTACAACATCAGTGAATCATATGTGTATGTGTTTGTATACATACACACACAGAGAGACATATACCCACACACACACACCCTTACAATAGTATTTCAACACACATACAATGCCTCACAACTTTTAGAAGGACCACCACAGAATTCCGTTCAAAATACACTTTTGACTCGATATGTCTTGAAAAGTGGTTCCCACCCTGCAGGATGGTGCTGCAACCCAGACACCAAGACCCATTCTGAACATGCTGAAGCATGATATTCTGCAGAAGATGTGTCATCTATCCTCCTAACAAGCTCCAGGGGGTTGAGAGCCAGGGGTGTCAGGCAGGGTGACAACCATCCAGGGCATGCTCTGAAGGGAGAGCTACAGAGAGCATTAAGCAAATCCCCCCAGCCAATACGTCAGTGAATATGCTGGGAGAGGAAGGAGTACTGCACAGCCTCAAAACGAAGCTCTTGACTTCCTCAACTCCATGGGCCAGAGTTCATTTAGAATGTCACTGTATGGGAATAGAACAAAATTTGTTTGCGCTCCAAAAAAAAAAAAAAAAAAAAAATGCCACCTGAAATAAACAATATGATTTATTCATTATTTTTTAAAAAAAAAATCACTGAGAGACTGAGCCATGCTAGGGAGACACTGTAGGAACGGCTGGAGCTTAAAATGCAAAGGAAAGACGAGGCAGGTCCACAGAACAGCACTCAAAAGGGAACAGTGGGCCACACTGACATTCAGGTGGGAGAGACCAATGCGCCCCTTGTGATGTGTAAAACACACATAACTAAGCCCTCCTTCTTTCAATACTCTCCAGGGAGTACACTAAGATAATGCAAGTTTGGATGGTTTCAATAACCATTTATAATTTGATCCCAAGGAACAGGGCATCTACTCTGGCCTCTAGCCAGAAGGAAGAGGCTAACTGGAAAAATAAGATGAAGGAAGGAAAAACACAACTGCAGGGTAAAGAGTGGAGGGCCTCTATTTGAGCTGTGAGGGCCAGGAATGAGGTTTTAGAACTTACAGATGCCAACCAAAGAGAAATGTGCAGGTCTTAGGTGCCCGAGTGACGCCGTTTAACAGAACCATAAAATGTTTTCTGAGGAGATGGAGAGAAAGAAGAAGAAAGAGGAGGAGGTGGCAGCAGCAAGGACAAAGGAGATTTAGTCCCTTTCAACCTTTACTCTGGGACTATTTCAACTCAGCCCTGTTAACTACATTAAAGCAAAACAGAATGCATCTGTCATTTTACTTATCAAGTAATTACCCTGTATTTGGATGAAAAGCAAACCCACAAATCCAGTCAATAGTTTTCCCTATTTTTTTTTTTAAATTAAGCAAGCAGAACTTTGCATTGAGAGTAATGAATAGACCCAGGCACCCACCCCTGCTCCTGCCAACTCACCTCCACAGCTGCCAGGGGGCTCTCCAGTCCTGCCCCTAACACATACACTTTCACCAGAAATAAAAGATTGGGTGACCAAACCTTGCCAAGTGAAAGTCTCTGCTCCTTCATGGGAGTCTCAAAAATGCAATGAAGCACAGAGAGGAATCTCCCCCCAACAAAGAGTGAGCAGCTAGTTGGGCATCCTGAATGTACATCTCATTATATTGACCCAGAAAAATAAAACCCCCTGCCCGGCACACTCCTGCTGTGAGCTAAGGACACGATGAACCCTCATGGGGGAGAGGGAGACCTTTGCTTTGAACCCCTGACTGGGCAAAACCCCCCCTGAACCTCAGGATTTTTACTACTAAACTCCACGCTCCTAACGATAGTCCAAGTTGTGTGGCTCAAGTGAAGCCCAACACCTGACCACATTTTAAAACCCAAGCCACAGAACAAGGGGTTAATGTTCTCTGATTGTTGGCGGTATACAGCCACAGAGTGCTTCTCCTGACACTGAAGAATTCTCTTGCCTAAAAAACCTTAAATTGCCAGGCAAGGTATATTCATGTTTTGCAAATGGAATTTGGATGTGAGGAGCCACCAACTCCACCTGAACCTCCTTCTTGGTGTTGACCAGCCGCCATGCTTTGGAGAACTCAGTTCCTCACGGCTGCCCCCACCCACACTGAGCCAAGGCACTGGCACAAGCAATCTGAGTGGTTCATTAGCTGTGCAATCGGAGCTTGGTTTCCTCCAGAAAGCATGCCGAATGGCTTATCCACCTGTTAGTTTAGGGAAAATGATGATCATACTTTAGTATTACTTTAGACTATATCTTTTCTTTAAATTTGTGGCCTAATTCATATGCACACAACAAATGAGAGCCACAGAGTCCCATTTGAACCATGCACATATGAGCCACTTTCCTGAGTCATCTGGAGACTGGACGGCGTCGAGCTGGCTCCAGGCCTGCCCAGGGCCTCACCGTGGCAGGTCCGCACAGGGCAGAGGGAGCGCCTCCCTCTCTGTGCCACCAAGAGCTGCAACTCAAATGCCCTCTTGTCTCTGAACCCACCAAATGAAGGTCAAGCCTACAGTCTTAACAGCTGTGCTTCAGGCAGTAAGTTCGTGTCCCCTCATGACTTCCGGACTCCTACGGTCTGAGAACAGTCTCAGTAACATTTCTTATGGGCTCTTCCAGAAACTTTGTTACGAAGAAACATTGGTATTGCTCCACTAGGAAATGACCCAACTTTGGAAGCCAGAAAAGGGTGAACACACTGGCTGTATCAACAAACCTAAGAGGAACGTGCCCCTCTAGCAGCAAATAAAGTAACTATGGAGACGGCTTTCTTCACTCTAAATCTAAGTGGTCATTGTGCAGTAAAAAGCCAAGAACCACCTGCACCTGACGATGGGAGCCCGGCGCTGCTCTTCCAGAAGCTGATTCGAGTGACTGATTCATCACAGGAGAACGAGCGCGGTCTGGGCGGAGAATGCCAGCAGACGACTATCAAGCAGGACAGGTGCCGCGGATAAGCACCCCAGAGGAGCAGTGGACAGAGCCAGGAGCTTCTGTCCGGGTGACCTGCCAGCAGGAACTGTAGAGAGGGAACCCGAGGTGGGAGGCACTGGACAGAGAATCTGCAGCAGAGGACGTTAAGGAAATGCAGATATGGAGGACGGTCAGAAAGACCGGGAAGGGAAGGGAGCAGGCAGACCCTGAAGCCCTCGCTTGGCGTTGATGTTCCTCCTGTGAGATCCGAAAGGCACTCAGGAGCGTTAATGATGAGGTTTGCATTTTAGAAAACTTGCTGGGGGCTAAATAGAGAACAGGAAAAGGGGAAGACTTAAACCAGTCACTAACCCATCAGGTTGCTCAGGAAGAAGAAAAAAACAAAACAAAGGTCCAATCCAGGGCAGAAATGGATGGAGGTGGAAAGAAACAGGAAGGACTCAATGGTTGTCTTGTTGTGGAATTGGATATGGAAGAGTTAGGGCGAGGCTCACCCCTGGTTTGGGTAGCTGGATCAATGTGGCCCACTAACCAGGACAGGAAATAAAGGAGTTCTACCTATAGCTGATTTTTATGTGGTGCCTACCCTGTGCCAGCACAACCTATTTCACAAAGAGGCGGAGAGGGAGGGAGAGAGAAAATTTGACCTCGTAACAATCCTATGAGGTAATCACTATTACTATTATCACTCACAGATGAGGAAACAGGCACAGAAAAGTCACATAATTTGCACAGGGTCACAAAGCTAGTAAGTGATATCCGGGACTCAAACCTAGAGAGTATAGCCATTGGACTACGTTGGTGATCATTAGATTCTGGTATGTTTTCAGAGCTATGTGGGAAGAACATAAGGGGACATACTGGACCTGTTGATCTTTTGGTGCCTGGGAAGATCCAGATGGGGTTAAACTGAAGGGTTGGAACTCAGAATAAAAGTCCTGTGTGGGCATAACTTGCAGTCACAGAGCAGAAAGTTGAAGCTACAGACCAGATGAGTAGTGAGCAACGTATTTTTAAAAAGTAGCCCTTACCAACAGAAAAGCCTTTTAAAACTTCATTTTCAAAATATGATTTTTTTTGTACCCCCAAATAATCCCCTTGGAATTACCTTCTCCTAACACTTCAAAATGATAATCCAACCAAAAAAAAAAAAAAGAGTAGGGGAGATGGGAGACAGGGAAAGGAAGGAGGAGAGAGAGAGAGAAAGATCACTCCCAAATGCTGCCACCCCTCCCCAAGAATGCTGA